ATTTCCTATGTTGAATTCTGTCATAAAACAATCCAAATAGACCAGTATAAGTGCTTTTCTATTACTTTACCCAGAACGAAGTCCTGGGTAGGTCTTATTTTTGTCCTTAAATCATTTTATCCCATCCATATTTTCCCTCTGTTCCCCCTGAAGAAGTTCATATCACTATATACAAAAAGATAATATCCTAAGTCTTTGTACTCCAAACATAGAGGTTGTTCCATGGAAACTGGCATATAGAGAAGAGTGAATTAGGGTATGTGAATGCTACAGAGGCACCCTAGATGTAGGTATTGAACAAGATACTCTTTACCAACTTTTTTCTTTTCTCTGTAATAATTAATGAATATTATTTGCATGCCTCCTATAAATAAAACATGTAACCAGGATGCACAAATAAGTAACACCCATTTTCTGACAGTAAGGAGTTTGCAATCTATATGGAAAACAGGTGCATCTTTCTTACAGACAAAATGTTTACCAGCAGAGAAAGTAAATGGTGAATGTTTCTTCTGGCCCATCAAGGAATAATGTGTTAGCAAAAAGCTAACACAGAGGGAGTAATAAATGAAAGGAAGGGAATAGAGAGTAGTAATGGTGTGATTTTTGCCTATATGACAGTTGTTGGACCAATGATTAAAAAACATAGAAGTGAAAGAGAACCAGAATGTATGAGAGAATCAGTTTTCCAAACGTATGGTGGCAAAACAGTAGCAGGCCATGAAGCCAGTTTACATAATCACATAAGATGGGAACAAAGTAAAACAAATATTAAAAGAAAACAGTGTCTCGGATATTCTGAAGATACTGGATTAAAAAATAAATATCTATCTGGAAATTATACCCCTACAGTATGAAAGAAACTTTAAAGCCAATATTAAATACTAAATTCATGTAATCCTAATTAAGGGATAAAATTATTTTTTTTCTTCTCATATATGAAAAAGTGGAAGCATAAAGCAATTTGCTTCAGATAATGTGAGAGGTAACTGGTAGAGACAGATTATGAATGTGTCTGTCAAACTGCACACTCGCTCTCTTCCATGACTTGACACTGCTTTCTAAGGTTATGTATCTTCCGTTATTTCACTGTTGATAGCTCACAAAGTTATTATTTCTAGTTCTTATATTTCTCCAAATTCCAGTCCTGTATTTCCAACGTCTGTGTTTACATCTTCCAGCAGACATTCCACTGGTTTCTCAGAGTCAGGTATCCAAACTGAATTTATCCTCTTTGTTAAAAATCATTCTCCTTTTGACCATCCTAATATTTCTTACCTCAATTTCCCAAGGGCACCTAAACTCAAAATATATCATTCTTGCCTCTTCCTTGTTCTAAATGTCCAATACATTACCAGGTCTTTTTAATTCTCCTTTATTGACATCTCTGTCCTAGTCAGGCTTTTCTCTTACCTGCAAAACACTCCTAATTGGGAGAAACAGGGTAGGGGAATCAGCTCACCTTAAATACTGCTGCCCCATTAACTTTCCTGCACCAGAAGCACTAAGATTATGCCACCTTTTTTCAAACAAAATGTTCAGGTAATTATATAGACTACCAAACAATTGCTAACCAATATCATGTCATTTTAAAAACAAACTTTAACCTCATTTCTGATTTATCACCTACCCAATTTTATATTCCATACTCTCTCAGCAAATTTGAACACTCACACTTATTCATATTGTTTCCGCCATGGGAAATGTCTATCATTCTGGTTTTATTTTTTCATGTTCAAATCCATCCCATCCTGTCAGGTCTATTTCAGTTGCTCTTAATTTCATGGATCTTTTCCTCCTTGACCTATCCTCATATAATCCACTCTACCTACTAAATTCATTTAGCATATGTAGTGGCCTTGTTAATGACTTCATCTTGGACTTCTAGCTTCCAAAACTGTGTTATTTTAAACCCAAAATACTTACAGTTTTTTGTCACAGAAGTCTCAATAAACTAATACATTATTTATCTATAGTTTTTTTTTTTTGAGTCATTAAGTACTTTTCTCTGTTTTATAACACTGTTTATGTGTGTTCCTTATCCCCTTACAGGAAAATAAACTTTAGGGGTAGAGTCCATATTTGGTTAACATTTCTGAGTCCTGAATAATCTACCACAGTAGAATATTCATTTTCAACTATGTTTGGGAATATAGAAATGATCCATTAGGTCCTCATGAAAAGTATAGTCTCTTAAGGGAATCAGATACTAAGTAAGGACACAAGTAATTACGAAAGTTGAAAATTATGTCCAGTCAGTGGGCTATGAATACAAGAGTGGGTGGGAGAATTTATTACAGTGTCAGTCAAATAATCAGGACAAATTCTCAAGAAAGTGTCATTTGAGTTGACCATTGAAAGACAGGAAGAATCATCTAGGTGAAGAATTTGGAATGGAAATGGGAGATGAGAAAGTTCCAAAAGAAATAGCACACAGCGTATTTAAGTACAAAGCCTTAAATACAAACTTCCACGTATTCATGGAACCAAAAGGATTCCAGAGTGGTTATAGCAAAATAGGCAGAGAGGCAGAGGGAATGGAGTCAAGGACAGAAAAGTGCCAAGACAAAGAATTTGAATTTTATACTGGGAAAGCACATCATAGACACTCACAAAAACAAAACAAACAGACAAAAAAAAACCCCACAACCTAAACTAAACAAAACAAACAAAAACATTCATTGAAGCTCAAAAATAGAACAAGATTAGTGGGCTTGGTGGAACCAAGGAGGCTGTGGCGGGAGTATCCCTGATGGTTTGAGGACAGCCTGGTATGATTCATAATGAGTTCAAAACCAGCCTAAACTATGTAGCAAAATCCTGTCTCAAAAAATAAAAAAATAAAAAATAATAGTAAAATAGAGTAAAATCAAAATAGTTCAAAGATAAATGGTAGGTCATGCTCATAGAATCTATATATTCTTGTACTTTGAATCCTCACTGAAGTTTTCAAAGAATGTGGACTTTTGATACTGAAGCTGAATAGTTCAAAACATATTTCCCATCTGCATAAACATTACATCTCTAACAACCTTCTAAGACAAGTCGTGTTAATTCTATTTCCTTTCTAGTTAATAACTATTAAAATTCTGTTGTTAAATAATATATCTTTTATTTTGGTTTATTTGTAAGTGCTCATGTTGGAAAATAGTACTGCATACTGAAAATGTGATTTTAGACTATCTTTTAAACTTTAAACTTTAATTTTCTTTTTAATTGTAGAATATTTTACCATATGCAATGACCAGAGTCCTGAAAGCATTGAAAATGAATCATTATTATCCTTCTTATTACTACCTACAATATTACTGAATTTCTGGGATTGAAGAACAATCCAGATTGTTTTGAAGTATGATGCATTAATATCCTGGAATGCCACTAAGCCAGAACAGAGATATTGGTTTGTTGTGAAGTGATACAAATTATGTTTTTGCAATTAAAGAAGTGGAGCAAAGGGAATATGAAAATTAAACCCTAGAGAAGTAAGTTGGGCTCTAAAGATAAGAGAATCTGCTATATCTCAGTATAAAAAAAAAAAAAGACACTGAAGTCAGTAAATATTATAACAACAGAAAACCATAGAAATTATTTATTCCAATCTGCTCATTTGGAAAATGAACAAAGTTCAAGCCTAACAGTCATATCCAAGTGACTCAGTAACTAAATATTTAACTGTATAGTAATGCAATTAAATAGTTAATAGCTCAAATGGTAACACTGGACCATAATTCCAGCTCCCACCCAAATTACCCCACCCAAACCACCTAATGGGTTATTGAAGTCCCTACCATAGCCCTTTCAAGGGCTTGGGAGAGAAAAGGAGTATTAACTCCATGACATGAGTCTCTGTACACGTCTTAATAAAAACTCTGAACAATATATATTATTCGCAATCTGTTTACTTAATGTACCAGATGCATTATAAAAGTTGTCTCTAATCCTTGCTACCGACAGTCAGCAACTGCTCAACAAAGTAAGAATCATTACCACTTTATAATGAAAACACTGAGCCTCAGAAAGATTAAATAGCCTCCATAATCACAAGCCCAGTAAATTAGTTTGTATTGCTATCAGACCTAACTGATTCAGACTCTTTGATGATCTCCTGCTTGATGTTTTCAATATGTTGTACTTTGTTTTCACCTTAGTGCATGTGATCACATGTATCATTAGTTCTTTAATAGCCCAAATATCAAAAAAAAGAAAAACTAAAAAAAAAGTTAGAAAGGTAAGAAAATTACATTTAGCAATTTACATTTAGCTGCCTGAATAAAGCTACTTAGTATTTAGATTTCATTCTCACAACATGGCCTCATGATACACTACAACTGAGGCTCAGTGAGATTAAATCGCCCCACACATTTTGATAAAGACCTCAGCCAGTTCCCAAGCAGTGTATGACCCAGATGTTCTGCTGTTATTTTGTCTTCTTCCAGCTCACCTCTTGTCTTGAGGTCTGGTTAGTTCTCTGTAGTCCACCGCCTTAGCTCCTCATCCAACTAGGCAGAGTTGTGATGCATGCTCTGATAGGCTTGTCAATGAGACAGACAGTGTGTTAAAATATTGCTTTTACAATGGAGTTATATTATCATGTCTGGGAATAAATATAATTTCTTTCTATGTTTCCTTCTTTGAGAAGTGAGGACCTTGAAAGACTGGCCAAGTCCATGGTATTAGTCTTCTGTCTCTGTCATCTTGACTCTACATATTTATGCTGAATATACCAAATGTACAGTAGAAAATGGTGCCCCTAAACTAGGTCATACTTTATAACACCTTTGAGAAGTGAATGGAAAATAAAATAATTTCATTGATTAGACAAATAAGAAGAAATAATTTGAAGTTTTAAATTTGAGAGTAGGAGCTGGGCGTAATGGCATATACCTGTAATCCCAGCACTTGAAACCAAAGCAAGAAGATTATAGTGAGTTCAAGGCCAATTTGGGATACATAGCAAGACCTTGTCTCAAAAAATCACAAATAAAATAAATAAATAAATAAAATAAAAATAAAATTGGGATTTGGTTTATGTTTTTCTTCTGAAGACCAGCTTAATTGGGAGGCTTTATGGCATGATCAGAGGCAAAAGTCTATCAAAGTGCTCAACATTATTGTTACAATAATAACAAAAAACTTTGAAAATGCAAACATATTTTTGAATTGCTTTCTATTATCAGCTACAACTGAGAAGTACATTAAAACTGAACTCCCCACAGGATAAATAATCTTTTGCAAAAGGGAAAGGGACCAAGGACTGGAAGTACAGGGAAGGGGACAGAATGAAAAAAGAGTTAAGGTTTGCCATGTATGTGTAGCAGATTTCTACATTAAATGTAATCTTATGTACTGCAAACATGTACTAAGAAAAATTAAAAAATGAAGAAAGGATACAGCTATTGAAAAAACATAAAAGTGTCACATTTTTCCTTTAGGAAAAAAAGCAAAATTGAGGAAGAGGGTTAACACTTGCTAATAACAGGTCCCACAGGAAACAGGATCTTGAATTTACTTTCAAGTGTCGGTTTTAGCAGCACTGTATGTTAACATCCCCATGTTTGAGGAGACCATTTTCTGATATTGACACACTTGAACAATTATAAACTGAGTCTGGGAATGGGCTCTAAAGCATCAGTATGGATAACAATTTTATGATAATTACATCAGTGCTACCTGCAGGGTTCTGGAGTCCCTCCCCTACTTCTGGAGTTTGATTTCCAAGTCTGTGTTTGTGAAAGCCCTTAGCTGTCTATTCAAGTCTTCTAAAGTAACTCAGTTAAAATCATCTTTCCTGACAAAAAAAAAAAAAATCATCTTTCCTGCTTAGCAGGGGGGACTTTGTTCATTGGCACAGCTTTGTTCTTTGCAATATGTTGCTAGTAACCCTAAATCAGAGATTATATTAATGTATCTTTTAGATTTCTGGGTCTTCTCTGGTGGGGAAAAAAACATTTTTACAATTTTATAATATTTTGTTAAATATCCAATTCTGGCTCAGTATTTTGTTCTCAAAAGAATTTTGAATTTAAAAAAGCTTAGTAAGAGAAAGGAAGCTTATCTAATCTCTTCAAGACTGATGAGAAGCAATTAAGGAACCTTGTCACTCTTTGAAACAATAAATTTCCAAGGAACTAGGTTCATGTTATTCAGGAACAATAAGGGATTCTTGCAAGTTGGTTCTACATGTAACCCTTCATTATTACAAAAGGCATTATGAAAGCACCATTCCGAGTAAACTGGAAGGGAAATGAGGACATGCTGAGCTGAGTTCTTCCAGGGGGAACAGAGACAGTGATAACAAAATGAAGATAAGTCTTCTGGTTAGTACCAGGTTCTCTGGTGATATTTTTAAAGATACAGGAGAATAATTTGGCTCATACAAGATAGTTACTGAATATTAGAAGGGTTAGATTTTTGACAATGTCATTTACATTTGTGCTAATGTTCTAATTTAGAACTTTTATCCACAAGACCTTTTAGGGGATAGAAAATAATCTGTATGAAAACTGGTTTTTTTTTAAATTAATAAGAACTAACTCTGCAAAGCTATATGGGACTCTCTGATTGATGATATAATACTGCAATACACTATCATTGCATTGCCACTAGAGAGGCACCAAGTATAATTGAAGAGAAAGAGTATGCGGCTATCTGGAGATTTGACTCAGGCATTGGCTAACAGTTCTGTCTTAAGATCATTTTCCTTATGAGTAGGAGACAGTTCTCCCTATATTACAGACATGTAAGGCAAATTCTAGTGATACATATGAAGTTAAGTTTCATAGGATAAGGATAGTTTATAAGTACTATATATTTTATAGAATAATTAGAAGTACTAATCACTCTGAAGTCTCAAGAGTAAGGTGCTTTATCTAAGCTATTAGTGATTTGAGATTAGTTTATTTTGAAGTAGTGGAGTACTTTGTTACTGCTAGGAACTGGTCACACATTCAAAACAATGACTAAGAATGGAATACTAATGGTGTATTATTTATTTTAAAGATTTACTCCTAAAAGTCCAAAAAAAAAATGTTCTCTGGACAGTTCCTCTCAAAAAACAAATTTTTTATCTCCTACATTATATGACTTTCTTGAGGGAAAGACCTGAGTAGAGGTCCATAATTGTTTTTCTCAGTTCCTAATATCGCACCAGATGTCTTTAGTAAGTATATGTTGTGCACACTACATTAAACTTCTGTAAAATTTATTTAAAAATTTACTAAATGTTAATTTTGTTAACTCTACTATATGCAGACTTCTACTGAAAATTGTGCAGACATGAGAAAGTACGCATTAGAGATAAAACCACTGACTTAGAATGATCATAATTTGGAAATGAGATAAATGTGAAAGTAATAAATACTTGTGAAAATGTATTTTATGTTTTCATGTGAACTCAAAAAAAATTATAGAAAATTCCATCTCATTTTTTACATTGGTCCTCTATAGGACTGAAAAGAAAAATGAACTTTGGGAAAATGATTATGTTTTTCTTTAAATAATTTTTTTTCATTACTTACAATGAACATTTATTGCTAATTAAGTTTCTTATTTTAAAGACAATAAAGAATAATTTAAAACATTAGAAACAATATAGAATTTCACTAAACAAGATGATAGGAATTCAAGTGTGCTGATTTTATTGCATATTGTTGTCTTCCAGTTAGTTTTCCACAGTATCAGACATAAGCATGCAGATTGGTCCAAAAAATTAAAAAGAAAAAATAATTTAAGCAGTAGTTGTTCCTTTCAATACACCAGTAGAAATCAATAGTACAGTTATCCCAGCTATCCTATGTATATACATATACAGTATATTTTTCCCTTCCTTCTCTCTTTCTTTCCCACATCGCTCATCCCAGTTGTTCCTTCCCTTTGAGCAGTTTCTTTCACTTTCAGAATATCTGTTGTACCTTTTAGATTTTATTTTCTCTTCAGGTTTTTACACTACAGAGACACTATGATGTTTACACATGCAGGTCTGATTCATTTCACTTGTGAGTATGGTCTCTAGTTGCATCCATTTACCCATAAAAGCCTCTAGTTTATCTTTCTTTATACTTCAGTAGTACTCCATTATATAAAAATGCCACATCTTTATCCATTCCTCATTTGATGGACATTTAGGTTGTTTCCAGATTTTAGCTATGACAAATTGTGCTGCGGTAAACATGGGTGCACATACATCACTGTGGTATGAGGTTTTCAGTTCTTCTGGAAAAATACCCTGAAGGAGAAAAACTGAGTTGAATGGGACCTCTAATCCTAGTTTTTTGAGGAATCTCAAACATTGATTTCCACAGTGGTTTCACCAGTCTTCACTCCCACCAACAGTGGAGAAGGGTTCCTTTTTTCCCTACAAGCACTCCAGCATTTGTTATTGGTTGATTTCTGGATGATAGCCATTCTTTCTGGGGTGACATGGAATCTCAGAGTTGTTTTTATTTGCATTTCTTGAATGACCAATAATGTTGAACATTTTTTCATGTATTTATTTGCCATTTGTTTTTCTTCATATGAAAAGTGTGTATTCATATCAAATGCCCATTTTTGGATTGGGTCTTTGAATTTGGGGGACCTGACTTTTTTTAATTCTATATGTGTTCTAGATAGAAGTCCTTTGTCTGAGGAACAGTTCATTAAAATTTTTTCTCAGTTTGTGGGTTTTCTTTTTACTATGTTGATTTCTTTTGATGTGTAGAAGCTTTTCAGTTAAGATGAGATCCAAGTTCATGACTCTTTGATGTATTTCCCATGTGGTTTGGTTTGTTCATGAACTCTGTGCCTACCCCTATGTCTTCAAGATTTCCACCTACTTTCTCCTCCAGTAGATTTAGTGTTTCTGTTTTAATATTTATATCTTTGATCCATTTTGCCTTTAGTGTATGGTGATGGACATTGGTCTAATTTTAGTCTTTGGCATGTGAAAGGCCAGTTTTTCCTGTACCATTTATTGAAATGGCTATCGTTCCTCCAGTGAACATGTTTAGCCCTTTTTTCAAAGATAAGGTGGCAGAGTGTGTGTGTAGTTGTTCCTGCATCTTCTAATGTGCTCCATTAATCCTCAGATCTGTTTTTTTTTTCTGCCAGTACCATGTTGATTTTATCACAGTAGCTTTGTAGTATAATTTGAAGTCGGGGATTGTGATGGATGCCTCCTTCCTTTCCTTTGTTGCCCAGGATTGCTTTTGCTACTCTACGTCTTTTCTGGTTCCAGATGAATTTTGGGAATGCTTTCTATAGATCTGTGAGGTATACTAATGGTATTTTAACTGGGATTTCATTGAATTTTTGTAACAATTTTGGAAGTAGGGCCATTTTCACAGTGTTCTTCCTCTACACAAACAATGAATATCTTTCCATTTTCTGAAATTTTCTTTGATCTTTTTCTTCAAAATACTGTAATTTTTACTTGATGGAGTTTTAAAATGCATAAATATATTTTTAATTCCCTCTTTTATTTTCTTAGAAAAATGGGCTAAGAAAAATAGACAACACACAAAAACTTGAGTTTTATTCACCTTCCTTAATAAAATATAAAAGTACATATGCTAAATACATTGATTCATATACTGAAGATAGGATTTCAGACTTTGAAGACAACATGGCAGATAGCTACCATGAAAGAAAGGATCTCATAAAATCAACAAGGATCCAGGAAAACTCAATTCAACAGTTGCAAGGCGAGGCAAAGAGGAATAATGTATGACTAATAAGAGTCAATAAAACACCACGAGGCAACACAACTGGCATAAAAAGAATATTTACAGAAATAATAGCAGAAAATTCCCCAAGCATGGAAACAGAACCTGATATACAAGTGAATGAGGCATATAGAACTCCAAACAACCACAACCAAATGAAAGTACACTCAGACATATAATAGTCAAGTTCCCAGATCTCCAGCAAAAGAGCAGACTATTAAAAGCTGCTAGAGAAAAGAAACAGATTACCTATAAAGGAAAGCCCATCAGAATCACTGCAGACTTCTCAGCACAAACCATCCCATCGAGAAGAGCTTTGAGCGAAGTAAAGGTCCTGCAACAAAACAGCTTCCAACAAAGACTGATGTACCCTGCCAGACTATCCCTCAAATTCAACAGAGGAATAAAATATTTCCACAACAAAGAACAATCAAAGAACTTCATGAGTGCCAAGCCAGTGTTACAAAGAGTATTAAAAGATATTCTAGCCAGATAAAAATCTGACCTCAATTTCAAGAACAACAGTAGAGATGAAACGTCAAGAAGAGCAAGCAAGTAAACAGGTAGAAAACATAAGAAACCAATGCAAGTAAATAACATGGCAATGATAAATCTACACATATCAGTTATAACTATAAATGTAAATGGCCTCAATTATCCAGTCAAAAGAAACAGACTGGCAGAGTGGATTAAAAAACAAAATCCAATGATATTCTGTATACAGGAAACACATTTCACTGAAAAGGAAATCCATACACTAAAAGTCAAAGGATGGAAAACAATCCTCCATGCAATAGGAACCCAGAAAAAAGCAGGTGTAGCTATTCTATTTGCAGACAATGTAAATTTCAAGCTGACAACAATCAAAAGAGATAAAGAACATCACTACATACTTGTTAGGGGAAAACTGCAGGAGGACGAGATAAAAATCATAAACATATATGCACCAAATATTGGAGCTCCAAATTATATGAGACAAATCTTAACAGGCATGAAAACCCATATAATTAATAACACTATTGTAACAGGTGACCTCAACACCCCATTGACACAAAGAGATAGGTCAACTGGACAAAAAATCAGCAAGGAAATAATAGATCTGAACCAAAGCTGTGAACAAATGGACTTAGTAGCTCTATACAGAATGTTCCACCCCACATCATCAGAGTACACATTTTTCTCAGCAGCACATGGGTCTTTCTCTAAAATAGACCTTATTCTAGCCCATAGAGCATACCTACCAATGTGCAAAATAATTGAAATTATCCCATGCATATTATCTGACCACTGTACTATGAAATTGGAAATTAATGATAAAAGGAACTCCAAAAACTCCATAAACACTTGGAAATTAAACAACAACCTCCTGAACAACCAATGGGTCACAGAAGAAATTAAAGAAGAAATTAAAAAATACCTACAAACAAATGAAAATTTAAATACAACTTACCGGAACCTGTGGGATACAATGAAAGCAGTCCTCAGAGGAAAATCTATAGTGGTGAATTCACACATAAGGAAAACAGAAAGAGAACAAATACATAGCCTAATGTTACATCTTAAACTTTTAGAAAAAGAAGAGCAAGTCAAGCCCAAAGCCCAAAGAAAGGAGGAGA